TGCAAAAATATATTTTTTAAATGGTAAAATTTATATTATGCATATTTTACAATAAAAAACAATCTAATTAGATGTTAACAAAAGACTTGAACAGACACTTCACCAAAGGATGGCAAGTAAGCACATAAAAAGATGTTCAAGATCATTAACCATTACAGAAATGCAAATTAAAGTCATGAGGAATACCACTATGTATCTATTAGAATGGCTAAAATAAAATAAACATTAATATCAGATGCTAGCAAGGATGTAGAGAAAGTGGATGTTTCATACATTGTTGGAAATAATGTAAAATGGTACAGCCATTCTGGAAAAAGTCGGGCAATTTCTTAAAAGTTAAACATACACTTACCAGACAACCATACTACTGGGTACATACGTGAAGAAATGAAAACTTATGTTCAAACAAAAACCTGTAAACCAATGTTCCTAACAGCTTTATTGGGAATAGCTAAAACTGGATACAAACCAAATATTCTTCAATGGATGGACAAACTGATTATAACTATCATACAACTATTCACAACAAAAAGGAATGAAATGTTGATACAATTTGAATGGATCTCAAGGGCAATAGGCTAAATGACACTCGCCAATACCAAAGAATTACATAGTGTATGATCCCATGTAAAAAAAAAATTCTTGAAGTAACAAATTATAGTGCTTTGAGAACAGATCAGTGGTTGCCAGGAGTAGGGGAAGGGAAGGGGATGTGACTATGAGGTAGCATGAGAGCTTCTTTGTGGTGGGACAATTCTGTATTCTGATTGTGGTGGTTACGTGAATCGGTACATGTGGTAAAATTCTACAGTGCTACACACACAAAAGAATGCATATAAAATTGGTGAAAGCCGAATAAAGTCTATCTCTACTTAATAGAATTGTACAAATGTCGATTTCGGAGTTTTGATAATGTGCTATGGTTATATAATATCATTGGGCAAAGCTTGGTGAACTCAACTATTTCTGCAATTTTTTTGTGAAGCTTAAAGTCTTTCAAAAGACCCTAGCTGGTTTGGCTCAGCAGATAGAGAGAGCCTCAGCCTGCGGACTGAAGGGTCTTGGGTTCAATTCTGGTCAAGGGCTCATGCCCAGGTTGTGGGCTCGATCCCCAGTAGTGGGCTTGCAGGAGGCAGCTGATCCATGATTCTCTCTCTCCCTCTCTGAAACCAATAAAAAAATTTTTTTAATTAACATTTATATGCCACTATGTGGCAGACACATTCTAGCAGCTTTACAAACATTAACTCATTTAACCCTCATAACAGTCCTATGGGGTAGGTACTATTATTATCCCAATTGCAAGAGATTAAATGTTTTGTTCCCCCAAAATCCGTACGTTGAAACCTAATCTCCAATGTGATGGTATTTGGAAGTGGGGCCTATTGCAGATGATTAGGTCATGAGGGCAGAGCCTTTATGAATGGGATTAGTGTCTATAAAAGAGCACCCAGAGAGCTCACCCTTCCCATCATCTGAGGACATTAAGAAGATGACTCTCTGCCCTGGGGGGTGTGACTCAGTTGGTTGAGCATTGTCCCATGTACCAAGAGGTCAGCGGTCAGGGCACATGCCCAGGTTGTGGGCTCGATCCCCAGTAGGGAGCATGCAGGAGGCAGCTGATCAATGATTCTTTCTCATCATTGATGTTTCTCTCTCTCTCCATCTTCCTTCCTCTCTGAAATCAATAAAAAAAATATTTTTAAAAAAAGAGTAAACTGCCGAAACCGGTTTGGCTCAGTGGATAGAGCGTCGGCCTGTAGACTGAGGGGTCCCAGGTTCGATTCTGGTCAAGGGCATGTACCTGGGTTGCGGGCACATCCCCAGTGGGAGATGTGCAGGAGGCGGCTGATCGATGTTTCTCTCCCATCGATGTTTCTAGCTATCTCTCTCCCTTCCTCTCTGTAAAAAATCAATAAAATATATTTTAAAAAAAAAGAGTAAACTATTGATACACTTAAAAATATGAACCTCAAAAACATTTTGCTGAGCTAAAGAAGACAGAAACGAAAGAGTACACATCCCTAAGTTCCCTTATTTTAAGGTCTAAAACAGCAAACTAAAATATGATGAGGGAAATCAGATCTGTGGTTGCCTGTGTGGTGATGTGTGTGGGATGACTGGGAGGAACATGAGGGAACTTTCTGGGGTAGTGGAAATGTGCATTTTACTGTTTAAGTTACATCTAAAAAGCTGGAGGGCAGGAGACAAAAAGCCCTCTTTAATAAACTTTGCTTGCAATCACACACACACACAGGGTCAAACCCATAGAGATTGAAAATTTGGCTAAAGTACTACCTGGCAATCTAAAGTGTCTTGAAGATAAATGTTCCTAAAATTTTAGAAAGCTTTAATTCTGAGAGGGAAGTGCCCCAGTTGGCCAATTTACACTTTCTAATCCCTTTATGTAAGATCTACAGCATATAAATGTAGACTGGTTTGGTAAAGATTACGTGTTAAAAATTCAGCACTTTAAAAAAAAATTCTTTTATTGATTTCAGAGATGAAGGGAGAGAGAGAGAGAAACATCAACAATGAGAGAGAATCACTGATGGCTGCCTCCTGCACGTCCCCCACTGGGGATCGAGCCTGCAAAACCAGGCAGGTGCCCTGACTGGAATCAATCGGTGACCTCCTGGTTCATAGGTTGATGCTCAACCATGGAGCCATGCCAGCCAGACAAAAATTCAGCACTTTTATCCTTTGTGCCTTTAAACAGAAAAACTGTGCCTGGCGTTTCCAAAGTGGGCATTTGTAGAGTTTGAAAGGAAAGCATCAGAAGTGTGCACAGTTGTTATCTCAAAGGAATTTCTCAGCGGAGGCCAACTGAGTCCCGAGTGCCGCTGCCTGGAGTCAGCTGGACAGACTAGCTGGGGTCGCAGCTTTTTGGGGTCTCTATGAAAATACGGCTCAGAACTACAGTCCTTTGTCTAGACCACAGTCCAGATTCTGGCTTCTCTTTGGGTCCCTGTTCCTTCACCTGAGGTCTCCTTTTGCTTTGTAATTCTAATCCTGAAACCGCTCACATTCTCATTCTAAGCAGAACTCCGGAATCCCTGAGCACTGACATCTCAGATCCAGGGGTTTCTCCGGGAAGTGCTGGGGCCTCCTCCAGGGTCTTGGCAGGTCTTGACTCCACACCTTAGAGCACCTCTCTTCGTTTTACAGATGACGAAGCAGCGGCCCCGAGATTAAAGGCCATCTCTAGGCAGCTGTCCCCAAATTTGTGTCTCTAGCCCGCCTAGCCTCTAGCTGTAGGCGCCTACATCCAGGCGGGGTATGGCCCAGTCGCCTAAATGCACCCGGTGGAGAATGGACTCTTCCTATCTGCTCCCAGCCGCCCCCACCCCCAGCTACCCAACCACACACAAACCCCCAGCTACCCTACCACACACACAAAACCCACATCTTCAGCCCTGGCCGGTTTTGTTCAGCGGATAGAGCATTGGCCTGCGGACTGAACGGTCCCAGGTTCGATTCCCGGTCAAGGGCACATGCCCGGGTTGCAGGCTCAATCCCCAGTAAGGGGCGTGCCAATCAATGATTCTCTCTCATCATTGATATTTCTCTCTCCTCCCTTCCTCTCTGAAATCAATAAAAATACTAATAAAATAAAGTGAATAAATAAAATGAGATGTCATATCGCTCCTCTGCTCAGAATCCTCCAGTGCTTCTTCTCAGACTCAGAGTAAAACCAAAATCTTTAGAACAAAACAAAACACCCCAAATCTTCAACTCTCGCCCTTCCCACACAGCAATCCTATTTATTCCCTTTGCAAACAGATCTCAAACCTGCCCCCTCTCTTCATCCCCGAATTGCCCCCGGCCCAGCTCTCCCTGCTGTTCCCGCCCTCGCCCCCTCCCCTTTCCCACCAGCAGCAGACACCCCTGTGATCCGATCCCAGGGCCCAGGTGAAACCCAGGCTCTCGGCGTCGCGGGGAGTAGGGGAGACGCAGGGATCCCCCGTGGCCCCACTCGACTCCCAAGGGCGAGAGGGAGGGGAACGGGAGGGAGCTCCCGGAGGCGGCCCGCCCTAAACGGGGGCTGCTGGGAACCTCCGCACAGGCAGGACCCCGACTTCTGCTGCAGGAAGCGGTGAAAAAGCCCACTCGTCCGAGTCAAACAGTCCCAAATCCAAATCCCGGCGCCTCCTCCGCAGCCCAGCCGGCTCACTTCTACTGCCTCTAACTTTCTCAATAAACTTCCTCTTATCATTTGAACAAAATAAAACTAATCCTGGCTCACGCAGCCAATCTCCTCTTCCGTTTACTCCTTTGTGAAATGGAGACAATAACGCATTACCTGCGAGGGTTCCCGGGAGGAGTCAATGAGCTCCAAAGCTCTAACCACAGCGCACAGTAGGCGTTTCATGCGTCAGCGAAAGCTCTCGCTCGCATTCTAACGAACCCACAGCCTGGACTCGCGCATGAGGCGGAAGTTGCCTGTCACTAGTGTGCAGGCGCTACTTGTGCCCACAGGATTTCAGTGCCCAAAGGGTTTCATGGCCCGGGGCACAGGGTCCCTCCAGCCTCCAGTTCAGCCCTGAGGCTGCCTCCTGGTCCCCGCGCTTCAAGCCGCACCGCCCAGGAGCGTGCCCTCGGCCCGCAGCCCGCATACCAGCAGCCGCCGGCGCGCAGAAGTGAAGTGATTCGCAGTCGACCCAGGAAGAGCCGCAGGACCACCCCGCGGGGAAGGGGCGGGGCACGCCCGCGCCGCGCTCTGCCATTGGTCCGCGCCAGCGGGAGGCGGGACCCTATACGACGTCGCAGCCCCGTTGTGTTGTCTGTCATTCGGCGGCGGCTAGAGGACACGGTTAAGATGGCGGTGGTGTCTGCGCTGGTGCGGAGACCCCTGGAGCAGGTAGGCGGCAGCGGCGGGCCCGACCACCCTGCGTGGTCCCTGTCGCCCCCTCTGAGCGCCCTTTTTCTCTCCCCGCCAGGTCTCGGGGCTGCTGAGGAGGCGCTTCCACCGGACGGCGCCGGCGGCGCTGCAGGTAACGCCGGGACACCGCAGGGGCCCTCGTCCCCGGTGGAGGCCGGGGTCGCGCCTGCGCGGTGGCGGGTGGGCGCCGACGGGGAGCGGCGGCGGTGGCGGCGGCGGCCTGGGAGCGGCGTCCAGCGGGGAACTCGCGCTGCGCCTGCTGCGGCCCAGCGTCCGGGCCCCGCGCCGAACCCGGCATGCTGCCCCGGCGATGGGCGACCCATCGGAGGGCCCTGGACTGGACGCTTTCCCCCTGATCACCCTTCCCCCTTTATTTTTATTGTGGCAAAATGTACGTAACAGAACTAAGCGCTTTAACGTGAGTATTCAGCGGCAGGAAGACCATTCGCCGTGTTTGGCAGCCATCGCCCCGTTTGCTAAACACTGACGCCCCGTCCCACGGCCCCCGCCACCTTCTCCGGCCCCTGGACGTGGCATCCGGCAATAGTCGTCCTTTTTACCCGGCTCCTTCCACTCCGCATAGCCAGTAGCCCGGGACACAGTTCCAGGCTTTCTAAAGGCCGAATGCCCTGCCATTGTGCGGATGCACCACGTTTGGTTTAATCATCTGTTGATGGACATTTGGTCTGTTTCCACCTTTTGGGTTTATAAATAATGCTGCTGTGGACATGGTTGTGCAAGAAGCCGAGTCTCTGTTTTCAGTTCTTTTGGGGAGAGATGGCGAATTGTTGGATCATATGATAATTCTATGTTCAACTTTTTGAGGACTCCCCCCCCCCCCTTTTTTTTTTACTAGAGGATTTTACCAACCTATATAGTAAAATAACTTCCTAGGTCCTGAAGGCAACGTGTGTGGCAGTGCCTGGCAAGTGCTGAATATGTAGAATTACTTGGGCTTCCTTAACAGTTCCCTGAAGTGGGGAGTAAAACCACCCAGGGTACGTTCTGCTTGTGAAGTTTCGCCTCTGAACTGGCCAGCCAGCAGGCAGATCTCGTAAGCCCTGTGCATATCAAGCAGAGCCTCCGTAAACTTCTCATTAACACACCCAATCACAGACTAGTTCCGTGTGATGGAATTATTACTTTAGAATTGACCTTTTAAAGAGAAGCCTGCTCTAGAAATAATTTTATATTACATACTGTGGGCAGCCTAGGTGCTGTGAAGGGGGAGAACCTCAGTAGCACCCTACAAAATCCTGGAGCTTATCGACTCTTCCCATACCTGTGACAGGTGACAGTTCGTGATGCCATAAATCAAGGTATGGATGAGGAGCTGGAAAGAGATGAGAAGGTGTTTCTGCTCGGGGAAGAAGTGGCCCAGTATGATGGGGCTTACAAGGTAACCAAGATACGGGAAAGCTGAACAAAATTGAGGTGATGACCGGGCTCCCAGGTACACTTTATAAAGTAATGGGGTCACTGCTTAATTTTAGGTCAGTCGAGGCCTATGGAAGAAATATGGAGATAAGAGGATCATAGACACCCCCATATCTGAGGTGAGCCTGCCATCAGGAAGCTGACGGCTAAAGGGTGCAGTGTTATAATTTTTATGGGTTTTCACATGTTTGTGTTTTATTTTGTAGATGGGATTTGCTGGAATTGCCGTAGGTGCAGCTATGGTATGAATCTTTATGAATCTCATCTTAAGTGTGGAGTAAAACCTTTTTAACATAACCTTTTGAAAACATTATTTGAATGTTGGGGGAGCGCAGCGGTGGTTTGCCCCTCTTCATTGCTGTTTTAAGGCTTTTTAACATCTGTGTTTTTGATTTGACAGGCTGGGTTGCGGCCCATTTGTGAATTTATGACCTTCAATTTCTCTATGCAAGCCATTGACCAGGTTATAAACTCAGCTGCCAAGACCTACTACATGTCGGCGGGCCTTCAGTCTGTGCCCATTGTCTTCAGGGGGCCCAATGGGGCCTCGGCAGGCGTAGCTGCCCAGCACTCACAGTGCTTTGCTGCCTGGTATGGACACTGCCCAGGCTTGAAGGTGGTCAGCCCCTGGAACGCAGAGGATGCAAAAGGACTTATTAAATCGGCCATTCGAGATAACAATCCAGGTCAGCAGAGGAGCTCTTGGGTCTCTTTTGAACATTCAAGAACTAAAATGAAATCTTTGCATGGGAGGCACCAATAAAAGCTGATTGTTAGGCTTAGACATATCATAAAAATGTTAATGATTTACAGATATAGTGAAGAAAGTAAAAAATGTTGTTTTTCTTATTTCTGACTACATGAGGGCCAGTTAGGTAAAGGAGACACTTACTATGTACCTACAACACTGGTGTAACCTCATAGGTAAAGTTAGGAGTGAGCAGACTACAGAAGTCAATACCTAAACCATCGTCAGGGAAACTGGCCATGGTAGACACAGGCTTCTTAATCAGCACAGTGAAGCTTCACAAAATGGACTGGTAGTGGCGCTCTCCCTCTTGGGAGCATGCCACCTTTCTCCCTCTAGGGGTGCATCTCCTAAGCTCTATGGGTCCCACAAGACTTGCACCCAGGGGAGCAATGGGCAACAGCAGCGTGTCCCCAGCTAACCCCCTGAACCTGTCTCCAAGGCCCCCTTTTCTCTGACTTTCCCGTGAGCCAGAGCCGCCCTGCCCAGTCTCCTCTTGCTGCTTGTCCTCAGCCCTTGTTTCACTGTCCCCAGCTTGAACATACTCTCAGAAAAGAAAGTGGTGTGTGTACATATTTAGTCACATAGTTACTTTTCTTTAAATATTTGTATTTTGTAGTGGTGATGCTAGAAAATGAATTGATGTATGGAGTTGCTTTTGAATTTCCCCCAGAAGCTCAGTCAAAAGATTTTCTGATTCCTATTGGAAAAGCCAAAATAGAAAGGCAAGGTAAGAAAACTTAGTATACATTCAAACATTATTTGTACTATAGCCCCTGTTTGTGTTACTCAAATTCATTCTAGACTGTATTGCCCTTTACTTTGACTAGGGAAGTATTAAATGAGTCAAGATAAGAATATATCATGCCCCGATTGCTCATACACTTGTGTTTTTCTAAATCTTAATCCAGTAGATTTGTATTTCATTTCTAGGAAGGTTGCCACATGCCTCATATTACTAGAATGAAGCTGAGTTGAAGATTTTATAAATGAACTTAGTTTCAGCCTGACTTCTGATCTGTGGCCACTTTGTTTCAGGGACACACATAACTGTAGTTGCCCATTCAAGGCCTGTGGGACACTGCTTAGAAGCTGCAACAGTGCTATCTAAAGAGGGAATTGAATGTGAGGTGAGTGGACATTCACTTGTTCCGAAAGAATCAGAAAGATTCCCTTTAAATTTAATACCCAAAAATAGGAATTTGAGTTCTAAACAGGCTAACTAGATGTGTAAAATCTTTTTCACTCAGTTCTGTCTCTGCTTAAAGCTGGAAACCTGCTTTTCAAATACATAGTTTTTTTACCACCTAGGTTCTGGATCTTTTAGAATAGTCCTGCGTTTTGAAGTTAAGATCCATCCTTGGAACTAGAGGTTGGGAGAAGGGGAAACATAGAAGTCAATGAGTCGAACCCTTTTATAACCAGCACTAGCACTTGTTATACTTGGGCAAGTTATGTACCCTAATCTCAAAAGATTTGGAGAGACAGGAGCTTAGAACAGCTGAGGGCCCTGGCTGGTGTGGCTCAGTTGGTTGGGTGTTTCCCACGCCCTGGCCAGTGCTGCTCACTGGTAGAGCATCAGCTGAGCACCAAAGGGTCATGGGTTCAGCTCTTCGTCATTTACCTGGGTTGCGGGTTCATTCCCTGGCCCAGTCAGGGTGCATGTGGGCGGCAATAAATCAGTGTGTCTCTCACATCAATGTTTCCCTCTTTCCCTTCTCTTTGTAAAAATCAATTAAAAAAACTTTATAGAAAGAAAGAAAACAGCTGAGGGAGAGCTGGCTTCAGAGAACAGAGTGGGGATAGTATGTTTTCTGTCCGATCAGGGTGGTTGTGAGAATTACACTTAGTGTAAGGGACAGGGAAAGAGATAGAAACATCGGTGAGAAACATTGATTGGCTGCCTCCTGCACACCAAGCCTGCAACCCGGACACGTGCCCTGACCAGGAACTGAACCGCAACCTCATGGTTCCAACTGACCAACTGAGCCACACAGGCCGGGCAGTTATTATTTTGATGAGAAGGAAGTTAAAGTCAAGGGAGGATAAGTGAATTCTGTAAGGTAACAGCAGCTGCTGTGGTAAGAGATAAAGATTTTTGTTTTAATTAAATTTTCCCTCTTACATGTTGTTTATGAATAGGCAGATTAGATTTTCCTAGACCCAAAGATGAATAGGAAACCTAAAGTGGTATTATGGGGATAAGACTATATTTACGATGCAGGGGCTCTCTAAAGCTTATCTCTTACTTTATCTGGTTAGGTGATAAATCTGCGAACCATCAGACCAATGGATGTTGAAACAATAGAAGCCAGTGTCATGAAGACCAATCATCTCGTAACTGTGGAAGGAGGGTGGCCACAGTTTGGCGTAGGAGCTGAAATTTGTGCCAGGATCATGGAAGGTATTTCAGAAAAACTAGTTTTAATAGTCATAGTTTATAGTATACACTGTGTACCCTGATACTGCATAACGAGATTAAAAGCTAGGAGAGGCCAAATGACTTGAACCTCCAATTTGTCAGCGTGGCACTTTTTCTTTGGGTAAATGTTTTAAAAAGCAAAACCAGAAACAATCCCCAGAATTAACATTCCTTTAGATTCTTGTCTTTCGGCGGTGGCCACACCTTTTGTGCGAAGGTGTTGGTGTTCAGCTGGCTTTTCTTGGCTCTCATTACTCCTTCTCTCCTAGGCCCTGCATTCAATTTCCTGGATGCTCCTGCAGTTCGTGTCACCGGAGCTGATGTCCCTATGCCTTATGCAAAGATTCTAGAAGACAACTCTGTACCTCAGGTTAAAGACATCATATTTGCAATAAAGAAAACATTGAATATCTAGTTGGGACTTGAATATCAAGTCATTGGAATTTATTTAAATACTTGCTGACACTACCTGGATTGAAGGGTAAGATCTTACAAGTCGTTAATGTTTTTGTACTGGGAAGAATGTACTTGTAAGTGGAAAACTCCATTCTTACTGCCCTAGACTCCATGCCTGTTTTTTTTGTCTGTTACAATTGCTCTTTCTTTGAATAAGACTAATGTAAAATTTTGCCCTCTCAATGGAAGGACAAAGTATGAATGGCAGAGTCCTGATGAAAGATAGATAGATATATATATATATATATATATATATACACACACACACACACACACACACACACATATATATACAAAAAGACAATTTGTATGTAAAGAAAAGCATATGATCTACATTTACTGTTAGATTGTTTTGATAAGGAATAAAGGAATTCCTAACTATGACTAATTGTATTTTTATATTCTTGAAAATAAATGGGGTGAAAGTTTTAAAATTCTATTAAGAAATTAATGTCATCTAAAATCATTAATCTCCTAGCCCACATCAACCTTGTCCATCCCTATTCTAATAGGGTTCCCTTAAAAATTATTTTTGAGAGTTAATCCTGACCTGAGGATATTTTTTCTATTGATTTTAGTCAGAGTGAAAGAGGGAAGTGGGGTTGGGACACGAGAGAGAGAGAGAGAGAGAGAGAGAGAGAGAGAGAGAGAGAAAGAAAGAGAGAGAGAGAGAAACATAGATGTGAGAGCCACATCAATTGATTGCCTCCCACACCTGCCCTGAATAGGGTGGGAAACCTGCCACCTAGGTCCATGCCCTTGACTGGAAATCAAACTCACAGCCCTTTGTGCAGTGGTTCTCAACCTTGGCTGCACATTAGAATCACCTGGTAATCTTTTTAAAATCCTGATTTCTGGGCCTCATCCTCCGGAAACTCTGTTTCTTTGTTATGGGGTGGGGCCACAACATTAGTAACAAAGAAACAGAATTTCCGGAGGAGGAGGCCCAGAAATCAGGATTTAAAAAAGATTCCCAGGTGATTCTAATGTGCAGCCAAGGTTGAGAACCACTGCTTTAGCGCATGGGGCGACACTCTAATCACTGAGCAACACTGGCCAGGGCAGATTCCCTTTAAAATTAAAGCAAAATTCATGTCAGGTATTTTTCTATTGCCAAAAAACAGACCTGCTATACATTGCCTTCTTCAGAAGTTACAATGGAAAAGACAGGTTTAAATTAGTTATAAAAGCATACAAATGGTGCCTAATTTAAACAGCAAGACAGGATTGCTTACTAACAGGGAAAATATGCCCTAGCTGGTTTGGCTCAGTAAAGAGAGTGTTGGCCTACAGACTAAAAGGTCCCAGGTTCGATTTTGGTCAGGGCATGTGCCCGGGTTGCGGGCTGGATGAGGCAGCCAATCAATGATGTTTCTATCTCTCCCTCTCCCTTACTCTCTGAAATTAATAAAAATGTATTTTAAAATAATAAAATATTTAGCCAAGCTATAGACAACCCATTTTCTTGACATGGTTTATTTTAATAAAAAATACAGCTGAACATATTTATCACAGATTACATGAAACTATAGACAATGACATTCTCTCTGCATAGTAACCAACACTGATGTGTGTACTTTAAGTTTTAAATGGATTACTTATAATCCTTTAAAGTGCCGTTTACTTAAGGATTAAGCAAATTATAAGATAAAGGATCTTTCTAATAAACGAGTAACATTTAAAGATGACGTATTTGAATAAACCTTTCCAAAGTCAGAATTCTATAAATGCCAAATTCGCTTATGTTGTAACAATAACTCCCCACAAAACACAAACTTAATTGCTCAGGAGTAAGGTCCTCTAATAGACAAGAGCATTTTCTGATGGTGACAGTTTTGTCTATTCAATGCATTCTAACTATAAGGAAATATGAGTCTAGAGTAGTTGCTTTAGCAGCCCAAGTTCTATATCCACAATGGTGTTCCCATTAGAGAATAATACACATTTTCCCCATCCTATTGGAGGGGAAAATGAAGACATCAGTTGCTTCTCTGACTCAGTTGCTTTGGACTACTGTGTTAATGTCTAAGATGAAATTAAGGGAGCAGGTATGGGAGTTACAATCTAAGAATAACCAGAAAATGCTTTAGAGAAATAAACTTAGGAACGTTTCTAGGAGCTGCCTGACGACATAGGAAGGATTGCAATACAAAGGCCATTCACTGCTGCGACTGAATATTGTCATTGTTTTTGTCCGTTTCAGTTGGTAGAAATATTTATTCTGATATGCTGCTGCTCCCCAAAGATGCCCATTAGAGGATGAACAACTCCTTTAAAATAGTAATAAAGGAGCAAAAGATCTCTTAAGGCAGCAATGCCAGCCTGATTTTATCATCTACTTGAATATTTCCCTCTTGAAAAGCCACTTACATGAGCATCTGCAAAACAACGTGGCTGTACTGGCTCAGCAGTTCTTCATCCAGGAAGAGGGTACTTTAGTGGTTGGAGGTGTGTAGAAAAAAGAACAACTTTTCCCTCCAAGTGTAAACACGAAACTTTAGCTGATCTTAGGAGCACTATGATCACAGGTTTCGGCTTTCCTCAGAGTTCCTTTTTGGAAATTCTGGATGGAGCTGAGTAAGGCCCCTCGGCTCATGCCATTCACAGCCTGGGGCTGCGGCTGTGTGGCTACCTCTGTGCTCAAAGGAGGCAAGGGAGCTGCTGGTGGTGGAGGCGGAGGTGGAGGAGGTGGAGGTAATGTGGAAATCCCTGTAGAAAAAAAAAGGGACAGTCAGCATCACCTCCTAACCCCCTGCATGCATGCTACTGCTCAGTCCTGGGCGGAACAGACTTTAGTGAGACAAAGTGTTTTCCCTCAGAGGGGCAAGATGCCCAGCACTGCATGATTTTTAAAATACTGAACAAGAAAGCTAGAAGCATCAAAGGGGAATTTTAATTAAAGGTTGCCACTTCTCCCAAATAACAGTCATGTGTGAAAAGACTGAATATCACAGATTACATGAAACTATATAGTGACATTCTCTCAGGATAGATGAAGCTCTAACTCCATTTCCAAATTTTAGTAATGATCCCCAAAGAAAAGTTCCATCAGCTACATTAACTAGGCCCACCAACTCCTGAGCTAGCAAAGACAGACATCTGGCCCTAGCTGGTTTGGCTCAGTGGACAGAGTGTCGGCCTGCAGACTGAAGGGTCTTGTGTTCAATTCCAGTCAAGGGCACATGCCCAAGTTGTGGGCTCAGTCCCCAGTAGGGGGTGTGCAGGAGAGAGCCGATTGATAGTTCTCTCTCATCATTAATGTTTCTATCTCCCTCTCCCTTCCTCTCTGAAATCAATAAAAATATAAATATATGCTCAGGTGAGGATTAAAAAAAAAGATAAACATCTGTATGCAGAGTTGAGCTACCTGAATATCTATATATGTAAAAGCTCAGCAACCAGAACAGCGGAACGATCAGAACAACCAGTGGCTATGACACACACTGCAGCAGCCAACCAGCCTGATCTGGGCCCTGATCAGCATCCCCACCCTGGCTGTCCTGGCCCCCAATTGCCTCCCCCCCCCTCCCCCGAACCCTGATGGGGGGTAGGGTGGGCCGGCCAACTGCCTGCGGCCCCTCCCCCTGGCTGGCCCTGTCCCCACTTACCCCCGCCCCTCCCCCGATCTGGGGAGGGGCCAGCCGGCCCAGCCCGATGGGCCCCTGTCGGGGTAGGCCGGCCGGACCCCACCCATACACGAATTCATGCATTCGGCCTCTAGTCAATTAATAATAAAGGGTGAACAGTTCTTTAGATGCTTCAACACACACAATATTTGAAGGATGTGATTTAATATAAAATGACAAACCACTCAGTATTCTTGGCAAGACACCAGTGCCTGCAGGGTTATGGGTTCCTCAGGGGCATCTATCTCAAATAATCATTTCCTATTAGGATGCATTAAAGAAATATAAAAAGCTAATAATTGTTGCAATGCAAAGTAGAGGGCAAAGAGCTCTCTCTTCCCAGCAATGGGATTCTCGAGGAGTCCTCCTCCTCAAGCTCCCTTCTTTCCACTGTGGCCCAACCCAGGAACAGACACAACTGCACTAACCCTATATCTTCGCTAAAGCATCAGGAGAGACTGGAATGTTGAGCTCTACCCTGGTGGGCAAGAAGGGAGCTAGACATGTGTTTCAAACTTCCCTTATCTTCCAGGCACACAAACATTTGGCACTTGAATGTTCTGAATGAATGAATGAACTGCTCTCCCAGAACAAAATAAAGACTGAATACAGAAAAAGCCCTGCCTTAAGGGACCTGCCTGTGCCACAGAGTTCATTGCCCCATTTCCTGGGAACCTTGCAGCTCTCAGTGACTCCACCCACCTGTTTCGAGCCTTACCCTCTACCCCTTCCAAGGGCTACACCATTCTGCCAGGTGGTTCCCCCCTAAACTGCTCCTGGGCTGTGGTGTTAACAGGTAAACATACCAATCACCCCGTGCATTTATATGGATGAGTGGTTCAGGGTTGCCAATAAAATACTTAGGTAAGTACATGACAGGCAATGGTTAAAATCTTGTGTTTCACAGAAAACCACTTACCTTTCTTTATATCTTTACCCAAACCTAAGGCAGCTGAAATTAAAGAATCACACAGACACACACACTCATGCTTTACAGTCTTGGAATTCTCAAATGATAGAGCAATACAAACAAACATTAAACAGACAAATGAACAAAATGTGGTTTCTATTTGTTCTATACAATAACAACTAATGAATGAAATTCGATTATGTCAGGTGGAGTGTGGGAAAATGTCCCTGGCTTTATGTTTCTGGGTTATAAAGATAAAAGGGACTTGAAATGAAAAACGAGTGTTGGGGTATGTGATACAAGCATTCCTCTGAAGGGCGTTTCAGACAGTGACCAGTGAAAAACCAGGAGGAAGGGAGCTTGCACCTCTGAAAGCTCTCGGAACTGAACTGCAGCACGGAGCCTGGAGGACTGAGCAGCACCAATGTCCCCTCCCTCCCCACTTGCCATGCAATGACCAGAAAAGGGCAGCAGAATCTGGACTGATGTTCAGGGCCTAACATGTATGGGTGGGCATTGGCGCTTCTGCCTTCCGGCTTTGTGCTCTGAACCTGGCAGAAGAGTCCCTGTGGGTTACAGATGAGACCGGGTCTGGACTGCAACAGCACTTGTGTCCTCACGACATGGAACTGGCCATCCAGAGAGGATGCCCCTCCGGCCCAGGATCCTGGGAGGCTAGCAATGGGCTGCCGTCTGGACAAAACTGCTTGGTCTTCATAAGGAACCAACCCTTGACTTTGGCCTCATTACCAGGAGCTCAAAATTAAAAATGCAAATTCACTACCACAAGGTTTGGGAGTTGGGGGGTGGCGTTTGTAACTGAATCTTCATTTCCAAGTAAAGGCTGA